GAGAGAGAGAGAGAGAGAGAGAGAGAGAGAGAGAGAGAGAGAGAGAGGGAGAGAGCAGGGTTTTCTAGAGCTAGGGAGGCAGAGAAAGGAGGATCTCTGCATCTCACTGACCAGCCACCCTAGCATACCTGATAGGTGAGTGAATACAAGGCCAGTAAAGACCCTGTCTCTAAAAAAAATATAGGAAGGAGAGAAGGAGAGAGGAGAGAGCAAGATCCAGAGGGAGGGAGGGGAGAGGGAGAAGGGAGAAACAGTCGATTGTGCTTGAGGTGTTCTCAGACCTCCACAAGTATATATATATGCACACATCCCTCCACACACATACATACAAGAAGGAAATTCAGATGAGTCTAATGTTGGAAGCTCTTGAACCTAGCTACTCAGAACAGGAAGGCTTGAATGACTTTAAACACAAACTGTGCAACTTAAAAGACCTGTATGAAATATCTATCTACCTGTTTGTCTCTGTTTGTCTCTGTCTCTGTCTGTCTCTGTCTCCATTTCTATAGGCAAATAAGTTTGTGGTAGATAACTTGCCTAGCATGCATGAGACCCTAAATTCAATGCTTAATACCATATGAATATAAACATTAGTTAAAAATAATAAATTTAACTACGAAGTTTTATAAAGATAACTGACACAATTGTATAAAGTTACTGTTTAAAAGTAAAAAATTAGTATGTTAATTTGATTTAAATCCAATGAAAATCATTACTATTCTTTTTGTGACCCTTCAATGCATTTCTGGGCCCCAAAAGTTATTTGTTTATACAAATAAATTATGTGAAACAGCAAAGAAAAACACTATTTTGAAACAAACCTGATACATTGATATAAACTATATAATGCCCTACTTTACAGAACATAGACAACTTCAGGTTCTCACTTTGCTTTAAGATGAATGACTGGAAGCAGGTTTCAATTTCTATCCTAAATGTTAACCTGATATGTATTGTTCAGTAGTACTGAGGTGACATCCTTTGCTAGAGAACAAGTCTAAGGAAGTAGAAAATTCTGTAGTTCATGAGAAATTCCCACAAGTCTATCCATCAGTACAAAATATAAAGGTATATAAACTGAAATTGTTGATATGTATGTCCATTTTTAGTTTTGTTTATGAATAGATGATTTGGTAAACTCAAAAGCAATCCAGGGTAGCCAGATAACAACCAAAGAGTAAATTATTTAAAGATAAACTTTTAATAATGGAACCAATACTGTTCATATATTTGAAACCATTCATTGAACCTGATAATGTATTTTATAAGATAAACGCTACAATTCAACAACTGCATTTTACTATCAATGATAGTAATGCTGTATTGTGACTATAGGTTGACATGAATTGGCCTATTAAAATACAGAAAACTATACTAAGTCATGAGCTAAATTTTATTAACAATAAGTCACATATATTTTCAAGTTTAAATTATAAAGATATTAGCATTCTACTGTGGCAGAGCTATAAATAAAAAAGCAATCTATGCCTTTTACCAAAGAACAGGGTCTCCTGACCCATTTTAAGTTAAACTGCTCACTTATAACTAATAAGCACATATATTCCAAATTTTAACTTCTTTTCTTCTCATTTTCTCCACTCCTATAAAAATATTTTTAATCTATGTCCAAAGAAGCACAAGTGTTTATACATTTATTTTACTAACATTGATTTTTCTACCCCATTTTGGCAAGCCAATGATTTTGAATTATGAATTTAAATTAAGGATTCACACAAGGTTTAAGTTCATGAGCCCTCGTTTTAAACTATAATTCTTTATGGTAAAATTCAGATTTAACTTGCTCAGCTCAATATCTTAAAGATTAGACTACCTTCTGTAATGTCTGCTCCGATATTGCTTTCTCATTCTTCTCTGGAGTACTCTTCTTGACCCCAGCATCTTCATGGTGTCTAAAGAGTTGTTCTGGAAGCAAAGAAATAATATATTATGGTACATCATATATTGCTGAAACACTGCACTGTCGGTTTAAGAGGAAAGGTTTGCTGGTTTTTCAATTATGAATAATCTAGTCTATTTTTCTTGTCAAGGGTTTGGCCAGAACTAAATGGTAACCTTTCTCAAGAGTTTGTTTTGTCACATAACTGCATGTCTTTGTGGTGTCCCTTTTTTTCCTGCAGTGTTAAGACTTTCAAATGTACAATAGATCTGCAGGTTAACAATGGTAGACTTTCATTCCTGTGCTCATTCTTTGTAGACTATTCCGCCTTTACCTTGAAAGCAGAATCCACTGCCTTTTTATCTGCAGCCACTACTAGTTTTGTTCTGCTGATCCTGTTCCCTGCCAGGAGGATCAGAGTGTTCACTGAACAAAGCAAACTGTAACAGAATTAGAGACTAAAACCCTAACAGCACAGGAACCTTTCCTTACAGGGCAAGGCCCTGGACTGGTGGGTTAAGCCATAAAAACCTCAACTCTAGAGGGGCTGTGGCTTCCTAGGAAGCAAGCCTATATTCAAGGGTGAAATTGCTTGACAAATCACTCCTGCAGCGGCTGGAAACTAACTACCACAGCCTTCTCAGAACGGTAGAGTCTGCAAGTAATTTACAAAGTTAAGGGAAACACTGTCATACATTTTTCATTAATATTAAAATTCACTCAAATTTATAACTGTCTTCTTTGCAGATAAGTTACAGTGATGAAGTTACCATTCTTTACTGAGCTACTGAATTATTTTAAAGTATAATATTCTTAAAGAACAAAACAGGGAACAGAGAAGAATTCCTAATGCTAAGAGGGTATACATCTGTTAGCTTACTTTTGCTTTAAAGTAAGCCAGACGACTGTAGGTCAATGTGAAACTTTGATTTATCAACAAAGAAAGAGAAAACAATATTATTCTCTGTAGAGTAGAAATCCTCCTGGTAAAAACAGTGACTAACAAGTTTGTTAGAGTGAATTAGGCATTTCTTTTGTCTTTGAAACATGACATACTCAATTAAAACTTCTGTGCTCATGAAATAAATAGAACGCTATCCTAAGGATAATAAAAGCTAGAATAGGTAGAATTTGCCTCTTGGGGAATACGTACCTTTACCTTGATAATAATCTATCAGCTCCCAAGCTTCCTTTTCTAGTCCCCTAACACCGTGGTGCTGAATTCATTTACAGCACTCTTCAGCAATATAGAAATAATATGCAAATATAATTCATCTGTTCAAGTCATTTAAATATCTCCTATAGTTCTGAGATATTTATCCTTAAAAATAACATAATAGTTCTAATAGTCACATAGCATGCAGTACTAACAACATCTGTATAGTGTTAACAATTATTTTTAACACTGAAGAATGATTTTTAAAAGAATTTCTTTGCTGTATGTGCAAGGGAAGCTGGGCAGAATGGCTGAGTATGCTCACCTGTGGATGTTGCCCAGGAAGAGTTTTCTTTCCTTTATAGCTTTTATACAAACATGGAAGCAGTTAGACTCAAATGTGGAGTGAAGCAAAAACACAGCCTAAGACACTTCAGTTCAGGCACCTCAGGATGTGGAAACTGAGGCAAGGGGACCTCACTAAGACAATGAGATTTCTCATTCTACAAGAGATTTATTTTATCATATGGTTTATGTGTAATTTTTCACTAGTATTAAAATTCATCCTGATAGATGTTCTTTCTTTCTCAGGAATTTCTTTTCTTTTTCTGTTTTTAACAACTTTTTTGATTATTAATAGCTTGTTAAAACTTGTTTTGTTTTATCGCTTGCTTCTTTTTCTTTTAATCTTCTGTTTGGCAAGGAGATAAAGCTCAAGCTCTCTCTCTCTCTCTCTCTCTCTCTCTCTCTCTCTCTCTCTCTCTCTCTCTCTCTCTCTCTCGGCTCTTTCTCTCTCTCTGAGTCTAAGTGCACTGAAATGAACAGAAAATAGATTTTTAAGAAAAAAATAAATACCACACAATCTATGAAAACTGCAGAAGGGCCACAAGGTCCAAACTTCAGTATCCTCAGCATAAGGAAAAGGGAGATGGAACTAGAAGTTGTAGAATTGTTTTAGGGGTAGAAAAATGACTTTTAGGGAATCTGAGTGTGTCTGAAGGACAGACAATGCCCAGGGACACAGGTGATGCACAGAAACTGAAGTCACAGGGAAGGTTGTCTTTCCACGTCCTCGAGTTATCGAAGAACAGATGTTGTCTTTAAAGAGAACTGTCAAATACCTTTAAGCTTGCTTTTCTATGAGTTAATCCTTCATTAAAGATGTTTTAGAGAGGGAAACCAAGTCAGAAAACATAATTCACACAGCACCCTGACCCTAGTGGCAATGTGCAAAGGAAGATCAAAACTATCTAGGTTCAAATTGCTAGCATAGCTGGGGTACAGAGTGCTCTGCACTAAGGCTGGGGAAGAAAGAAGACTGGGAGTTCTAGGTCAGCCTGCGCTATACAGAAAGACTGTCTCATGTCAAAGTGTCATGAGTTGGGCTATTGTTTCCAAGCCCTAGTTAACTGAACAATTAATCAAATTATTCTGCTTCTTACTGTTTTTATTGATTTACTGTTAGTTATTTTTATTATTTTTTATACCCTAATTTAATTATAGTAGTACATTATCTAAAAATTCTTAACATTTTTTCTGACTTTTTTCGTTTTAATCATTAAAACAAAAACATTTATGCAAGAGCTTAGTCACTTTTGATAAATTATTAACATTAAGCTTAGCACTTTTAATTTAGTTTCAACTAACTTTATTTGAAATACTTAATAGTAAAATACAATAACTGGTAAACATCCTAAAATGTGTGTTTATTATTATTTTATAATACTAGTTTGCTGTTAATTGGTATTAAATATAAAATTATTTAGCATTAAATAGGCTAAATTTTTATACTAAATGAGAAAATGCAAAAGTGTTACAGTCCAAACTGCATTAAGCCAAATGAAACAACTTTAAATAAGGATAAATAACTTTATCCTTGAATTGTATGTGTCAATTTTTACAGTATGCTAAGTATATCAATGGCTAATGCCATTAAAACTTACTTTATTTTTTATATTCTTTATGCTTTTAATGATAAGTAATACCTACTTTTTTATTTTTTCTTGATCTGTGAATCAATTTTAAAACAAACAAAAGTTCTGCAAATAATATAATTTAACAGAAAATAACGAACTGCATTCTGTGTATCTATTTTAGTAATAGAACATGTATTTTTCTGTGATCTCTAATCCTTACATGTTAATTCAGCATGGTAATTTTTAGCATGCATTTCATTTCTTTATTTTACTTTCTTTGTGCCTGTCTGAATCCACCTTCAGTTCAGTCAAGTTGCACATTTTTCTTTTTCTTTTTTTTTTTTTTTGCCAGTCTTCTTATTTGAAGTATCACAAATACTTTTTTCAAGTTGGGTTATTTATTAAATGGCTTTCTCATTATTTGCTATTAATATATTCCTTAATTCTACCACATTATTCCTTGATTTTTCTTTTTATTTAATATGAAATAGATTGTTCTCCCATACAACACACAATACAATACAGTTTCCCTCCACTCAGTACGCCTCCCCTCCTCCACCTGTCCTCCAACCCAGAGTCACCCTACTTCATTTCTCCTTCAGAAAAGAGGAGGCCTTCAAAAGACAACAGACAATCAGTACAAAACAAGACACAATAAAACACGGCAAAAGCAGAACTTGTGGGAGTGTCCAAACAATTGTTCTGATTTTTAAAATGTTTACTTCTAAGTAGATATTGCATATTCATCACAGTTCCTCATAAGCTCCTTTCTTCTCTCTCATATTACTGCTTCTTGCTTCTGTTAGTGCCCTTTGACCTTACGTTTACATACATGTCACACACATATATTCATAGATAAGACTATATGCATATATACATATATAAGACTATATATATACACATACATATATACATATATATGAGCCACAAATAAATAAAGACGTATGATGTTTGTCTAAGACTGACCTAATTTACATCTGATGTCTAGTTTCTTCCACATTCCTGCAAACAACATAACTTCACCCTTAAGGCTGGAAACAACATCAGTTGTATGTATATTCCACATTTGTCCACCCACATCCTCTGATGTTGGGCACATAAATTTCTTCCCTAACTTATCTACTATGCGCTGTGTTACAATAAGCACTGATACATAACAAAGTATCTCCAGGATGTTCACATGGAATTGTGAGAGCTCGAGTTTTCCTTTTCTTTCTTCAGTTGAGTCTTTCTCATTGCTCAAATATCCATCTACTCGTGTTTTTATTTTCAGAACGATACAGTTATTTTGAACAATAAATCAATAAACTCTTCAGGATCCCAATTGTTAAAGAGGAAGTGGGAATATGTTTCAGTAGGAAGAAATAGAAAATATCCTGACAAGAAAAGACAAAATGAAAACAAGAAACCATGCTTCCAAAGCTAGAGGAGTGAGTACATATTTTGATGGAAAAATAAAAGTGTAAACTAAAAATGTTAAAATATTGGCTTTGGAAAATCTCTAACAATATATTTAAGGCTGAGTCAATAATGACGACTGAGAAAAAGTCAGAGGAGTTCATTAGAAACAGTCACCAGGTGTGGTGACAACAGCTGGGTAGCAGAAGCTAGAAGGAATCTTGCTTCTTCCACTGAGATACTGACGTTTCACAGAAAATACAACTGTCTTCACTTTCAATATAGGAACAATCTTATATCAGTAACATAGGTGCATTCCACATCATGAGACAGTCTGACAGTGGTTGGCACATTTGAAATGAACAAAGCTTCCTCCTAAGTTTAAGATGGAAGCTCCATAAAATTAGAACTAAGTATTTTCAAAGTCTTATAATAGGACACACAAAGTGAATCACCAATGTTAAACACAATTATAATATTATGAACAAGTGTAACTAGGAAAACTATTTCAATGAACAATAAAACTAATTCTCTTTTACTCTGGTCAAATATTTGTTTACATTAAATTAATTAAATTAGATTAGATTAAATTAAAAGAGGGAGAGGCAAGTGTGTTTGTGAAGGCTCACGGTCCATGTGTGAGAATCAGAAGAAGGCACTGAGGACTCCACCGGCTTCCTCCACCTTTGCCTTTACTTGGGGTCTGGGTTGGACTAAGCTCCTCAGGCTTATGCATCACAGCACTGGCCGCTGGGCAATCTCACATGTGCTATTTAAAGGTTTAAGAAACTGTCAGCCTGTTCGAAGTGAGATATTTAGGAATTCATTGTATTTGAATTTTTTCATGATTTATAAAACTTGTGTTATAAATCAGCAAAATGGTATGAAAAGTGAGAAATTAAGATTCTTAAATTGAAACAAAAATTAGATAATAAGCTGAAAGATTTATTTTAGTTAAAAACTTACCTTCTCTTTTTTCTGCCATGCACCTGTTCAATTCCTGTATTGTTGTTTTATCAATAGACATATGCATTTTAAGCTCATCCAATTCATCCTGAAGATTCATCCTATGAAAATTTGAACAATTAACAATTACATAAAATGTGTAAGTTAATGAACAGTACAGTTTTTAAAAAGTAGCAAAGACAACTGAAAAGTAGGAAATGGTAAGTTAAAAACAAAAATATAGTAATTTCATATATTCAATAATTTTTATCCAGAATAAAAATTGATTTCTATGAAGGTAGTTTTTTGGAAAAACTATCAACTGCATTACAACAAATATGCCAAATACATAAAATATAAACTTTAATTTTTAAATTTTTGGTATTTTTATATATTTATATATTTCAATTTCAAATATTTATATTTTATGTACATATTTATTTAAATATTTGTATATTTATATATAAATGTATATTTATTATTATATCTACTATTAAATTATATAGTATATTATTAAATTTATATAATGATATAGATAAATAAATAAATATACTTCTATTTCAAATTTTAAATTTATAAATTTCAATATATAGCCTGAACTTTGAATTCACAATTTTGTCTTGTCTTTCTATGCTGGAATTATTAGCACATAACATCATGACCAGCTAAAGAACTATTTGTGTGTGGGAAGGGTGTAATAAGTGGGTACAAGGCAACACTAGAACAGAGACCACAAGAGGGAGAAATGTGCTGGGGAGAGGAGGGAGTGAGGGAGAGAGAAGGAGGACAGGCAGTAGCATACATGTGACACGACCATGGACAGGAAGCTACAGGCAGGGAAGGGGTAGAAGGGTCCAATTGGTGAGCAAGAGTGGCAGAAGGGGAAGGGAAGCAGATCTACAAAGAGGATTCACTAATTTCTGTCTGAAAATGTCATAATGAAGTCTAGCACATGGCCCTCTAGTTAATCTTATTAAGCATCATCTTCCAGGATCTAGAAAGACAGCTTAGTCAGTAAAGTGTTTGCTGTACAATCAAGGGGATCCGCCTTCTATTTCTCACACAGTGTAAAGAGTGTAAAGAGGGTAGTGTGTGTTTGTAACACTTGTACTGGAAAGGCAGACACAGGAGGATGCCCGGGACTCACTGGCCAGCCACTCCAACCCCTGAAAAATCCTGTTTCCGCAGTATGAGTCAACATGACACAAGGGGAAAAACAAAACAAGAACAAAAAACAAAACAAAAAAACAAAAAACAAAACAACAACAACAAAAATCTCAAAAAAGCATGGTGGAACATTAGAGTATGAGAATCTGTCCTGTAAATCAAACCAAGGACTGACTGATGCCTCCCAAGACATCATCAAGAGAAAGTCGCTTAAGGAAGCCACTGTTAAAGTATTAAGGATGATGATCCCAGCACACAAATAAATGAAACAAGGAAATGCACGATCTGAAAGAGACTAGAGAGTCACAGAGGAGATGAGAAACTTTTCTCTATAGTCCCAGAAACAGATTGGGTCAAGATGAAGTAAAAATAACAGAGCTTGAAGACAGACTTTTTGAATTGTTGATGTCAGAAAGAAACCTCTGACAGTAAGGGAAGTTAAAACAGCTTGAAGAGAAAAATGTGAGAGCTTTTGAATACCCTTAAAAATTATATGTTCTGGAAGGAAAAAAACTACAGGTTGGGATCATAGAAAACATGTTCAATAAGATAACAGCATAAAACTTTCCGGATCCTGAGGAAGACACAGACATCCCACTATAAGAAACATTTAGAACTTCAAATACGTATTGGTGTGTTTTATAAAGCCAAGGAAATGTTTTATTTGGGGACATAGGAAGGGGAGTTGAGAAGGAAGTAGAGGCAGAGAAAGAGAGGAGGCAGAGAAGAAGGAGAGAGAGAAAGAGAAGAGGAGGCAGGCCGGGAACAAAAGAAGAGGGGAGAGAGGGAAGGGGAGACAGGTAGAAGGGCATTAGTGAGAGAAAGGAGTCATAGAGTCAGAGAGAGTCAGATAGGCCGAACAGTCCCTTTTTATAGCAAACTAGACCTATCTGGCTGTTGGTAGGTAACTGCTGGGCAGAGCTTAGAAGGAATGTCAACACATAAGACCATAGAAGTCTGTCACCATGACATAGTGTAGTTATGTTGTTAAAGTATAGGACAAAGAAGAAACATTACAATCTTCAAAAGCATAGCAGATAAAGGCATTAGACCATGGCATTTTTCTCTGAAGGAACTCTAAATACAAGAACAGCACTGAGTCATGTATTTTGGGTTCTGAAAGCAAATAACTTCATCCAAGACTGTTGTATCCAGCAGGTTTTGCTCCAAGTAAGGAACTTCCAGGATAAGAAAAAAGCAAGGGAGCTCATGGTCACTAGACCAGAATTACAAAAGATCCTTAAGAGAATCATATTCAGAAGAAAAATTCAGTAAATACCATCATTAAGAACATGAATAAATCCCACTAGAAAAAGATATGATATTGAGAAATAAGAAATGCTACTAATAAAGAAAACCATCAAATTTACAAGGTAAACAAGGAAACATACCCAGAGCTACTTGAAAATCAGAACAAAATGGAAAATGTATATGCCAAATAAGAGAACAGCACATACTTTTATAAAAATGAAACACCTCCAGATGTTAAAAGGAGGTTTAGGCCCCAGTGTAAGAGTGGGTAACTTTTAATAGGAAGAATAGCAGAAGTCTTAAGGCAGCCAAAGATTCCTAAGCATAATATACTGGCTGCAGAATAGTAGCGCATAACAGCTCTGTGGTGGTTTAAAAGAGAATGACCACATCAGTTAATACATTTGAATACTTGTCCCCAGTTGGTGGAACTGTTTGGGAAGCATGAGGAAATATGCTGTTGATGAAGGAGGTGTGTCACTGGGGGTAGGATTAAGGTTTCAAAGACTTGTGCCATTCCTAGTGTGCTCCCTGCCTCCTGTCTGTGGTTTTAGATGTGAGCTCTCAGTGGTTCCTACTGCCATGCCTTTGCTCAGTCCTCATGGACTCTAATGCTCTGGAATGGTAAGCTTGATTAAGTGCTCTCCTTTGTTAAAATAAACACACACACACACACACACACACACACATACACACACACACATACACACACACATACAGACACTCACACACATGTAGGTGCACACATATTCACTGACACCCTTACAGAGATGTGTACCTAGACATGCATGAACAGAACACACTCCTGTTCATACTTATTCCCACAGATCATGAATCGAGTTGTTCAACTACATTTTAACACACCTGAAAGAACTACATTGTATTAAAGAAATGTCTAAACAAAACTGTATTATGGTATTTTCATTGCTTCATTTGAAAAAGCTGTACAACACATTGCATATATCATAAGAATATTCTATCTACAAGTGTGAATATCAAATTTAATAATTAAATGAGTAAAAGTCTAACATTGTTTTGTTGTAACTAATATAGGTTTTATTTTGAATATACGACAATGTACATTTACACCAAATTGTTATGCTAGACAAGACATAGCCATCAGCAGGTGGTGGCCGGGGGGATGAATCCTTCCTTCATAGTCAGCTCTGGACTCCATCATCCACCTCCCCAGGAAACACATGAAAAGCAAAGTATCACAATTTTTCGTTCACAAGATTCAAACTACCTCAGGAAAAGGAAGAGGTGGAAGTATCAGAGTTTTCCCAAAGCCCAGTAATGACAAACTAGTACCCCTGCTCAAAAGAACAGACATATTTTAATATTAATATTAATATGCCATCTTGGGAACAGCTGAGAAAGAAACATTCCAGACATTCAGTGATGTGTTTGTGTGTCAATTTGACAAGAGGTCACTTGTCCTGGCTACTTCTATGTCAGCTTGACAAAAGCTACAGTCCTTTGGGAAGGGGAATGCCAGTTAAGCAAATGTGTGGGCCAGCACATGGGACATGCTCTTGATTACAGATTGTTGTGGAAGAGCCTAGCTTACTGTGGGCAATGCCACCTGTGGACCTAGGTGAAGTATGGCAGGCTGAACAAATCATGAGAAGCAAGCCAGTACAGTATTTCTCAAGGATCTCACTTCATTCCTACCTTGAGTTCCTGCCTTGAGATTTCATTTGATGATCCCTGTGTTGTGAAAGTGTAAACAAAATTAACCTCTTCCTCCTCAAGCAGCTTTTGGTCATGGTGTTTTATCACAGCAATAGAAACTCCAAGAGACTGAAAACCTTCATTTCTTCAGGAAGCTTTTTGTAGAACTTCATTCATGAGAATGTCCATTTTGCTTTTATATCAAAGCAAATGATTTCCAAGATTCTTCTAAATTCCCAAATTTATACTCATACAAGGGAATCATGAGGGCAGTTCACACTGAGTGTAACTCCTGAGCCATCTTTCGAAGTCATGAAAAATTCTTAAGAAAAAAAAAATCTCTATTTTCCCTCAGGATAATTCTTTAAATAATTAAATTTACACTTTGATGTCCATATGTGTAGCTTTTGTTTAAATAAACATATACAAACATATATAAGGGTTTAAAATTTTTAGGTCCCATAAATACAATGGCATCCTCTCAGGAAGATTACAAACAGGAAGACTATACAAAGACACAGGTCCAGTTAAGCACACAGTGATTAGGTTCAGATGAGGATTCTTATTTGCTTAGCTGATAACACAACATACTGAAGCAGTATGGCTCGATAGGGAAAAATCAAATACACTTCTTGTCAGCTCTGGATGCAGAGTAATCTGAAAGACACTTGTAGAAAAACTTGTCCTGGTAACATAAAACATTCCATTCAAAGAACAGGAAGATAAACATTAGTTACTTAACCATCACCACGTATGACTTCATGCTATGCACAGCGAGCCCTAAAAAGTATAAGTAATACAAAGCATTTTCTATGCCCTCAGCACAGAGAATGGGAAACCATCATCAGAAGGCTATCTGAAAAATCCTGAAGGATTTTAAATTAAAAAACCTACATCAGATAAAGATAATCTGCTTGGCTGAACTTCAGACTGCCTCCTGAATATTCTCGTAGACTTGCCATGCATTTAATAAACCTGGTATTAGATTTATACCCTGCTGGTGCTGCTTGGCAGAAGCCTTTCTGCCCCA